CGCCAGTGTGAAGTCCTTGCCGGTGCCGACGTTCTGAGTCGTCCCCGTGCCCGTCGCACCGAAGGACGAAGCCGTGATCAGGTCGAACGTGTCCCCAATGGTCGGCAAGTAACCATCGATCAGATCGAGGTCGATCTCGGCGCCGTCCAGGTCGGCGACGCCATCAACACTGATCAAGCTGACGCCGCTGCTGTCGAGGATCTCGAAGCCGAGGGTGGCCGAGTTGCTGCGGCCCGCCCCGGAGGCGTCGCTGCGGAAGTCGCTCTTGTCGGCGGGGTTGGCGAGCAGGTTGCCACCGATCTCGATCGTCGCCGCCGAGCCGCGGACAATTAGCGCGCCGCTGGCATTGAGGGCCTGGCCTTGAGCGTCGTCTGGGCCGGTCGGCTCGACTCGCACGTCGTCGGCCGGGGCGTTGCTCGCCAGAGCGGCGCCGATGTGGACGTTGCCGACCACATCGAGCGATCCACCACCAATCCGGTACTCGCCGTAAGACTGGTCAAAGTCGCCGAGGAAGACATTTGTGGCGATGTTCACTTCGCCGCCGGTCTGATTGACGGCGCCCTGACCCGACNNNNCGCGGCCAACAAAGAAGTTGTTGACTTCGGCAACGGCGTCCGTGCCGGTTTGATTGAGCACTCCGCCGCTGATGTTCCAGGTCCCCTGGCCATCGCGACCGACCATGATGCTGCCGGAGCTATACGTGCCGCCGGTCTGGTTGACCGTGCCATCGCCGCCCGCAAAGGCGCCGATAACCGTATTCAACGCGACCTCGGTCTCAGCGTCGTCGCTGATGTTGTAGGTCACTGTTGCGCCCTGGACGTCGCCAGGGTTCTCGATGTTGTCGGCGATCACAAACGTATTCGCGGTGAACTTGCCAGCGGAATGGGTGTACGTGGCGTTGCCGCGACGCCCCATGACGAAAGCAGCGGGAACCGTGAACGTGCCGCCGGTCTGATTGATTGTGGCGTTGGCGTTGGGGAGAAACGAAGCGAAAGCAAAGTTGCCGACCCGAACGTTGGCGTCGCCGCTGATGTTCAGCGTTCCCGTGCCTTCGAAGCCGATGAGGATATTCTCGCCGATCGCTTCAAGCGTGCCGCTGCTGATGTTTACCGTGCCATTGGAGGGGGCGCCCAAACCGATGAAGATCTCGTGGTTCGCTAGCATCTGACCGCCAGTCATGTTCAGCGTGCCGGTTCCGACATCTCCCACCAGCAGGTCGCCGATGCCAAAGCCGCTGGGGATGACGCCATCGATAAACACCTCACCGCCGCTCATATTCAGAACGCCGGTCGATCCCTCGGCCTGACCAATACGGATCGTCGAGGGGAAGTCAGCCGGATTACCGGCATTGGCGACATAGAGGTTGGCGCCCGCGGTAATCTCCATCGTCCCCGTCTCGCCGGCGACGGCGCCGAGGTCCACGAGGTCGGCGTCCGCGATGGTGCTCAGCGTGACGGTGTGCCCGCCGTTGATGAACGCCGAGTTTCCGATCGCCGGAACGCCGGCGTCCCAAGTCGAGGCGGAGTCCCAGGCGCCAGAACCGACAGCGTTGGTCTGCGCGTTGGCGCTGATTCCTACTAGCGAGAGGGCTCCGACTAACGAGAGGGCCGAGCCCAACGCCGCGGCGCGGCAGATGTGTGATAGCTTGCGGGTCATGGTGCGTTCCTGACTGGGATGCGCATGGAGCGCGGGTGAGGAGAGTTCCGCCTAGTCTCTAGCCCGAACAGCAGTCCCGTCGATTTCATGCCCAACGACATCTGGCCTGCCGGCGCGTCGGCGTCGGCAGGCCAAGCCGCCGAAGAAACGGCGGAGCGAGGGGTCGATTCGCTTCGGCCACTAACGCGGCTTCGGCGATCAGGGACAAGCGTTCGGATTAGCGGCTCACGCAGGATTGCCCCGTTACGGGCGTCCGCGGCGCTTGCCTAGTTCGTAATGAGCGCTGCTGGACTCCTTGTTCGAAGCGACAACATCCCCAGCAACGATGGCATCGCGTGTTTCGTGTTCCGTAGTCCGTCAATCGAGCTGATCAGGGAACCTGGTCACATACTTGTCGATCAAGCGACTTCGAATGTTGCGTCACAAGTCGATATGACGACGCATGCCCAAGAGCTCGGCGGATAGTTCCATTCCAATCAAGAGTCGTGCATCTGGCCATGGAGAATCACAACTCGCGGCTGGAATATTTAGCACCTGCCGCAAGGCGTCGAGAACATGCTGTTAAAGTGCTTGAACTGCCTGGCGCAGCAGGTTTTTGACGCTTTCCTTCCAATGCAACTCAAAGCGGCGTTGCGGGTAGATGTACTTCTCTGTGCCAGCTGAAGTCACGAGCTGTCTCTCATACCTGGGCGTTAGCTACACCCCTGATCCGCGATCGATGCGTGGCGATCATCCCACTGCAAGTCGGTACGACGCCCTTCTGGCCCTAAAGAATATTGGATCGTCGTCGNNAATGCGAGGCGGTCGGTATCCGCAAGACGAGCCCCCACTTTAGGATTGTGAGTTACCCAAACTGATTGAGTGACTTGTTCGCCTCATCACTCGCAGGAAGCTCTCGTTCTCGCTCTCCTCAGGTCCGTCGGATCTGCGTTCTTCCTGTCGCGAATGAAGTCGAGGTCGCCGTGATTCAGCCATTGCCTCAACGCGTCCTGTCACTCAGCATGGAAACATGGGAAGCAGCCTGTCTTGTCGGGCTTCCGCGCCTGCAACTCATGAGAGTGGGACGTCACTTCTCTGAGGCGCCTTTCGCTTAGCGCCGCGGCCTATCCGCCGGCACACTGAACATTGAGGCTAAGGTGAAGAAGCTATTGCGCTGCATCATTGAGACTCATCTTGCGGTCTTCTTAGTCGTCTCCGTCTCGCCGCCATTACTCTGGGCAAGTTCGATCACCGGGACGCACGACTGGGAGATTGTCGCCCGATTGACCGGCCCCGCGGGCTCCGATTCGATCAACCCGACTTGGGACGTCGGCATCGGCGGAACCGACTTGGGCTTTTCGGTCAATCACAACGGCAAGGCTTACTACCTCTTCGGGGACACCTTCGCGTCGGACGCCGTCGCCGGCTCGGGCGGCCCGGACTGGCGTAAGAACGTCATGGCCTACAGCACGGACTTCGAGCCGTCCGACGGCATCACGTTCGACGGCTGGATTACCCGCCCCAACGGCACGGCGACCCAAGTCATCACCCCCGGGACGGCTCCGGTAACGTACATCCCCACCGGTGGCGTCAGTGTCGGCGACAACCTTTACGTGTGGTACATGCACGTCTCGGACTGGAATGAATGGACCCTCAGTCACGCCGGGCTGGGACGCTGGAGTGAGGGCGACAGCCAGTTCACGATCGTCCCCGACTATCAATTCTCGAATCCAAACGGCGGCGCCTACAGCGCCGGCCACGGCTCTCAGGGTTACGGAAACTTTGGCATGGTCGCGGCCAGTTACCGCAACCCGCTGGAGAATACCAGCGACCCGCACATCTACCTGTGGGGGACCCCCGGCGGCCGTGAGGGGGGCGTCAAGCTCGCCCGAGTTCTGCCCGAGCAGATCGAAGACCTTAGCGCGTACGAGTATTTCACCGGCGAGTCGGCGGGAACGCCGCAATGGGGATCGGGGGAGACCAGCGGCGTCAAGCTCGTCGAAAGCGGCGTGGGTGAGATGTCGGTCATGTACAACGAAGCGCTCCGCGAATGGACGATGATGAGCATCTCCGGCGGACCGGCGCCCGACATCGAGGTCCGTCACGCCGAGAACCCCTGGGGGCCGTGGTCGGCGCCTAAGACCGTGGTCGACTTTGCAGACGCCCCAGGAGGGGTTTACTCTCCCT